CTCTTCATAGAGCTCTACTATCCTTTTATCAGCTATTTCTTTCGGAATAAGCTCTTGCTCAACATATTCTGCCATTAATTCTTCTATTTCTGTGTTTATTATTTCATCAGTTATTTTTGCTTTTTCATCCTGGATATCTGCTATTACCTCTCTTATAGCTTCTGGAGTATCAGAATTAACGTAACCTTGTCTATATATCTTTATATCTTCATATACTTCTTTTGCTTTTATCTTTATTAATTCTGCTATGACAGGTTTTTTCCAGAACTTTTTGTTGTTGTTTTACTTCATGTGACTTGTTGTTTTCTGACTACTGTTGTTTGTTGTTGTTGTTTGCTGTGGTTGTTTACTATTTTTGTTTAATTCCGTCATGTGGTTTTTGTCATATTTATTTTGTTTATTTTTCATTATGTGTTGTGATTCTTGTGATACTAAAACAGATTTGCAATTCAGGATCAAGGCCAATTCTTCCAAAGTTTGCAAAGTGCAAAAAAATATCGACGATTTTTCACGACTTCTTCTATTTCTTTGCTGTTTCTGTTTTTCTTACTCAAGTCTCTTAAGAGACTGAGTGTTTCTTGTTGTTCTCTTCCTCTTTACTTAGGAGCCCGAGATTAGTTTCTTAGTGACTTTTGTGTGTTTTTTATGTTTTTGTTAAAATTTATTTTTGAGAATTTTGTGTTTTGATGATCAGCGGAAAGAGTTGTGATTTGATTTCTAAATAAAATTATTCTATTCACCTTGCATTAACCAAAACAACATACGATTAATTATTTATAAAATACATGAAATAAAAAGAAAGTTCGTCCCTTTTATACTTCGATTGATTCGTGTAATTTCAACTACATGATCACCGAAAAACTTACAATCTCTAGTTCTGATATAAAAATCTTTTGATTAAAAATTCAGGTATAAAGTAATAAATAAACTAATATATCTGACATATTTTTTATTTATATATTGAATACTTTCTATTAACTATTGTAAATAAGAATGTGAAAAAAATAAAATATAAAATATAATGATGTGGGCTAGAGATTGGAACCGTTTAACCGTTTAACCGTTTAAAAATTGCTCCGTAGATCCGGGCGGAATTATGTTTGTCGTGAGCTGGAATTATTTTAATGCCGGCCAAATTAAACGGTTAAACGGTTAAACGATTAAACGATTAAGAAAAATTTAGGCGGTTATTCAAGAAACAAGCCGACATGGGGTATTGTTTTTGGGGATACTGTAAGAGTGATCAACAGTAGTTAAAAGTCTTTCACTATGATTACGCACACTATTTTATATCGAATATATATATTCGGTATAAAAACTAATATATTCCGAATTCATTTCTACAAATTTACGGAACAAATAATTAAATGAATTTAACTAAATAAAGAAAATTAATTTTATTTGAATAAAAAATTTTATATTAAGTTATATTATTTAAAGGATCGTTTCTATCAATAGATGTGGTTTTTGTTGTCAGTTGAGGTGTTGCTTCGGTTGAAGTTTCCGTGTTCATGTATGATGTGCCAAAAAATGCTTATTTATAAGCCATATTTGAATAATTACAAAGAGTAATAATAGCATATTTATTAAAGTTACATTGGCATCATTATCCTCCTCTGTAGCTATGCCTAGCTGATGCCGTTGTTGAGGAGTATCCTCGTCTCAACTATCCTTAGACTGGAATTTAGCATAATAGTCTTTTGTCCTAGCTTCATAAAGATCCTGTACGCATTCAGGTAGTTCATCTACGAATACACCTAAAAATTGAGAATAAAATAAAGTTAGGCGAAAATAAGTATAAACTATAGGAAAAAAAAAGATCATACCAGGAGATCCCTCATAAATCGAAAAAGAAGGTACAACAGTGTTTGGTGGTATGACAGTATTATCCTCAATTCTGCAACAATCTTTTATTATTGCAAACCTTCCCTATAGACGATAATTAACAATCAAAACTAGCTTTCAACGATAAAGTTTTATAATAATAAATTCTTTACTTACAATAACGCAATTTTTTCCAATATGCACAAATGAACCAATAGTTGCTGCTTCAACAATACTTCCTTCACCAATAGTGACATGATCTCCGATTTTCATAGGATAATAACTAAAAATTCTATTATAACCTTATTAAAGTTTAATCCATTTTCTCCTAAATTATAGGGATAAAGTATTCATACCCTTTGTATGTCTTATAAGGAGGTCTAATAATGCTCCCTTTAGCTAAAAGACAGTATCTTCCAATGGCCACGACTACCGCATGACCACCACCAGTACGTCTCAAATCGCCACGGATTACACAATCAGTTTGAATAATGGTCTGAATGAACAAAAGTAAATTTATTTAAAAATAATCTAATATCCCAGTAGCTATAAAAGTGCTTTATCAACTTTCACATATATACCTTCCCTCCGAGTATAATGTTTTGACTCCCACAAATTACAGATTTACGGCTCACTTTGTTACCAGTATCCTATTTAAAACGTAAACAAGGTAAAAGACCTGTTGTATACACAAACTGAAAAATATAAATCCTTACAGTTTCAATGTATTCTGAACGAGGATAATAGACTATTGGAGGTTCCATAGTAAAAAATTTCAATAAAGGATTTCGATAAGAATTTTGATAAGAATTTCGATAAAAGAATTCAATAGCGATTGCGACAGTTGATAATCACGTACTTTTACTTTCCTATCGTTCCCGCTTTTTTACTATCAAAGCAAATTTTATCTGATTGGATGACGGACAAAATGTTACACATATGGGGTGTTATCTATTAAAACAGCCCTTTTTTACATAAATTTTATTTTGAGATAATTGAGTTTAATCATTTGTTTTGATTTTCGGACTGATCCGGGATTAATCAAATTTCACGATTTTGA